CATTGGTTATAGTAGCGTTTATCTTTCTGAGAGGACTATTGGCTATTCTCCGAAGCAATTCCATAAGACTCTCTCATCTTGACTTGATAGTCTATTCTTCAGGATACTGCTGGTGACCTTTCCTCATCATTGTCCATATCAAATAACAGATACACTGGTAAACGGGGTGTTCTGCCATAAAACAGAAAGAAAAGGGGCATACCTGGTTGCTTTATGCCTAGTACAATTATATGCATGGACTATTTGTGGTAAATACAGTTTCCACTGAGCTTTCTATACCTCTTCCAAAGTATGAAGCATTTATAAATGTTCTATTCAGTCTTTCAATAGGGTTGCATTGTCCTATAATGTGTTATTTGAGACTCAACCGTTTGAAATGTTGTTTTTCAAATTCTGTGCCCTAATCATGGTGAAGTTTTTCAGGATATCCAAATCTGGTAATTAAGTCGTTTAAAATCTTCTCTGCTGCAGTTTTCCCTGATTTGTTGTGTGTAGTGTAGGCCTATGCAAAGCAAGTGAAGTGATCAATAATATCCAATATGTATTTGTCACCACCTCTGCTCTTCTCTAGGTGAAGAAAATCCACTGAGACAAGTTCAAAAGGAGCATTAAATTTAATACACCCTAACGGTGCCTACTCTGGCACTGTTGGGGGTTTCATTTTCAGAAAACTACATTTTTTTGTGACATAATTGGTCATCTGCTTTCGCATGAATGGCCAGTAAAAAAAATCTTTCTTTCTCTTGAAAGCTGGATTACTTTCTCTGCTCCACAATGTCCCATGCCATTATGTTGGCGTTTCAGCACTATCTGAATTAACTGTTCTGGAATAACCATTTTGTTGTGTCATAACAAAATGCCATCTTGTACGGTCAGTTTATTTCAGTCGTGTAAGAGTTGTTTTCTTTTTCTATCTATACACCTCTTGTCGATGTTAGTGGGTGCAGTATTTTTATTCCTAAGGTCAACGATAGCATGTATGGCCTTGCTCTGCAGCTGGACAGCACAAAGTTTATCCTTTGTGACGATTTTCTGTATTTCAACATTTCAAAAACAATTTGCATCTGTAATTTCTGGCTGTAGAGCTAGTGATAGTGCCCAGAGACCTTCCTCATTTACCACTGCACTGTCACCTTTCCATACAGTAGAAATAGTCTGTGGTATGATCACATTTGTAACATTCTTCTTCATCCTGAAGATGGCATAGTGGATTTCTAGACAAGGATTCAGTATCTGCATTTTTTTTTATCAACACTGTTTAGTCTTGCTGAATTGAGAACATATGTAATGGTTGTTGTCTGTAAAGACCATAAACGAGGGGGCATATTACAGGTAGTCCCTAAACTTATCACAAATAGCCCACTTTCAAGCTAGAACCTCCATTTTTCCCAAACATGGATGATAGCTCTTCTCACTTAATGTCAGTGTTTGTGAACCATAGCTTATAACCCGTAATTTGCACTCTTGACATTGATATAGCTCTGCACCTAGCCCATCTTGTAATGCATAAGTGTGTAACACAAATGGTGAATTAAAGTCAGGATAGGCAAGGATTGGGAATTTGGTTAACATCAGTATTAGCTTGTCAACAACCTTCTGGTGTTCTGGCATCCATTGAATTGGTGTTCCAGAGGGCAGCTGTTGAGCTGTTTCCTTTTTTTACAGGTGTCTTCCCGTTTACTGTAGTTCCCTTTCCTGTCTTTGTATAATCTCTTTTGATTTTTAGTAAACCATAAAGGAGTTTTGCTATAAATGAAAAGTTTTTGTATGAAACGGCAGTAATAGCTTAGAAATGCACGTAGGACAGGAACAAATGTTACACAGTACATACCTCTCCTTTATGGAGTTTGATGATTTTGCTACGATTGTATATATTTCATTCCAACTTATTATTCTTAGTTAAATAACAAAGCATAAGACCTACCAATGCATTTGCTTTATATTTTTTCAAACACAATGTTTCACTCAATAGTCATGTCATTTTTACTGGGGTTTTAACCATCAGAATGCTCTTTTATCAGTTCAATTGCATTGAACCCTAGAATAGGAGTGGCATAGAAAGTCTGGCTAACTAGCATTGGAACATGGATTGTTACCCTATTTCCACTTTGATTTTCAATTTTTAGGTCCAATTCCAACCACCCATCAAAAGGAACAACAGAATTTGTTGCTGTGATGGTTACCTTGCTGTCTTTTCCTAACAGTTTGTCAGTTGGCTGAATTGCAGTTTGTTTCTGGTGTTATTTAACCCAGCTTGCAGCCGCAACTCTTACTCGGGAACCCATGTCAGTGAGTACTTTTGTGGGTACCCCTACTAAATTACAAGTGACAAAGCATTTGCTCCCTATTAGTCTGGCTACTTTTTTGAGTCATGGTGGAAAGGTGAGTGAAGGATTTCTTTAGGTTCTTCAGGGACTTGAGACTTTTTATCATAACTGATCACTGGTTTTCCAGCACCTGTGACAACTTCTCTTTTCCTGGCAGCTTTTCCCTTTTTATGCACCCTCGTGCCATATGACCTTCCTGTCCACAGTTAAAGTAATACCTACATTTTTCTTTTCCTTGGTTCACACATTGTATACATTTCTGCATATACCTGCTTTTATTATTATTATTATTATTATCTGACAATGTTGCTCGATTATCCTCAGACTTTCTTAGTTCAGTTGCATGCATTAAATATTATACATTTTGTGCAGGGGCAGCAATCTGCACAGATAATTCTACGAGTGAAGCAGAGGTGGACTGACCATTTGGGTATTCGGCATTGCCCGAAGGGCCAGGGTCAGTAGGGGTGAGAGGCACTCACTGGGCGCAATTCACTAAGCGGTATCTTACCGCATCCGAGTATGCGGTAGGATACCGCATAGCATTTAAAAAAAAAAAGTGTGAATTCACAAAAAAACTGTACTAAGATACCACATGAGTTATTTTAGCAAGTTTTGCAGTATTTTAGTAGTGAAAACCATGTGTTAATGTTTCATCTGTCAGCGGGGTTCCCGGCCCTTCAGGTCTGGTATAGATAGTGAGGGGAACCCCCATGCCAAAATAAAAAAAAATGGGCCCCCCAGATCCATACCAGATCCTTATCTGTGCATGCAGCCTGGCAGGTGGGTGAACGCCCCCCCCCCCCCCTCCTCCTGAACCATACCAGGCCACATTCCCTCAACATGGGGGGGTGCTTTGTAGCAGTGGGGCTCCCCCCAAAAGCACCTTTTCCCCCATGTTGATGGGGACAAGGGCCTCTTCCCCACAACCCTGGCCAGTGGTTGGTGGGGGCTGCAGGCAGGGGGCTTATCGGAATCTGGAAGCCCCCTTTGGCAAGGGGGCCCCCAGATCCCACCCCCCCTCCATGTGAATGAGTATTCAGTACATGGTACCGCTACCCCTTCACAAAAAAAAAAGTGTAGTGTGAAAAAAGACATGAGACAGTCTTTGACAAGTGCTTTATTAAAAGGAGAAAAATAAAAGAATGTCCCCCAAAGTAGATCGAACGTCAATCACGATGACCGCTGCTGTCGCCACCCGCTCCCGACGCTGGCTCCCTGCCGTCTGACTACTCCGCTGGGTTGACAGTTCTTAAATGTAAGGGGCGGTGTCACCCAGTGACATCACGCGTGTGGCCCCACCTCCTTGTGACGTCATCAGCCGGGGCATGCTGGGTCAATGATGTCACAAGGAAGTGGGGCCAGACGCGTGATGTCACTGTGTGGCCCCACCCCTTACATATTTAGGAACTGTCAAGCCAGTGGAGCAGTCAGACAGCTGGGAGCCAGCATCAGGAGAGGAACCTTTTTTTTTTCTTTTTGGGCAACGGTGGCGGCAGGCATCGTAATTGATGTTGGATCTACTTCGGGGGACATTCTTTTACTTTTCTCCTTTTAATAAAGGACTTGTCAAAGACTGTCTCCTGTCTTTTTTCACACTACACTTTTTTTTTTTTGTGAATGGGTAGCGGTACCATGTACCCCATACATATTCACATTGGGGGGGGCGGGATCCAGATTCCAATAAGCCCCCTGCCCGCAGGCCCCCACAACCACAGGCCAGGGTTGTGGGGAACAGGCCCTTGTCCCCATCAACATGGGGAACCCCCACATGTTGAGGGCATGTGGGCTGGTATGGTTCAGGAGGTGGGGGGGGGGTGCTCGCTCGTCCCCCCTTTCCTGACCTGCCGGGCTGCATGCTCGAATAAAGGGTCTGGTATGGATTTTGGGGGGGGGGACCCCTTTGAGTATCATTATATATGTTTCACTTAACCCCTCTTATAAAGCCCTGTATACACTTTGAGAATATAGGTCGAATGATCATCTATTTTTTTTTTTTTTTTTGCATGCCAGTTCCATATCGATAATGAAGAAGTTACTAAAGTAACGAAAATTGACGTACAACATAATAAAAATTCGGAAGGGATGTAATGTATTTGTATTGTATTTTCCGACGAAAACTGTACTGATGAAACAAAAATCGTATGAGCTGGTATCGTACAACAAAAAATGTTGTGCTTGTCCCTTAATTTTGGACGATTGCTGCATACTAACGATCAGATTATCATACGATCCCTTTGAAAGTGGCATTTTTTTGTGCTATTTTCGGATTGTGTGTATGGGGCTTAATGTGTGAAGAAATACTCATTGTATCAGGTTTTTCTCAAACAATAGCAGCACCCAGTTGTTGAGATGACCACAGTAATTTTTGCTTTAGTCCCATGATCCTGTAAAAAAACTGCTTCAGAGTTTCTTTATCCTGTTGCTTTGCATTCATCAGTTCCTAAAATATCAGATCAGTGTAGCTTCTATCCTGAAGGTGTGAGCATAAAAACCTTCTGTAGCTCTGCTACAGAAAGTTCCTTGTCAGGAATGGACTTGCCATAGTGGTGGGACTCACCTGCCTTGTGGGCTGCAGTACCAGGGCTGGTCAGCGGGTGCTCTCAACAACCAGAGGTTCACTTCGGCAATTAGCCATCACCTGGGGTTGATTGCAGGTGTATTTAAGGGATGGCCAGACGATCCAATGCCTGGTGACCCGATGCCCGCTGTCGTGCCTGATGACTCGATGCCCGCTGTCGAGCCAGACGATCCAATGCCTGATGACCCAGTGCCCGCTGTCATACCTGGTGACTCAGAGCCAGCTGTCACGCCTGGTGACTCGGTGCCCACTGCCTTGCCAGATGACTCGGTGCCCGCTGTCGAGCCAGATGACCTGATGCCTGGTGACCCGATGCCCGCTGTCGTGCCTGGTGACCCGATGCCCGCTGTTGAGCCAGATGACCTGCCGCTCCGCCTGGGGGCCCGGTGCCTGCCGCCCTGCCTGGTTGCCCGGTGCCCGCCGCTCCGCCTGGGGACCCGGTGCCTGCTGCTCCGCCTGGTGGCCCGGTGCCCGCTGCTCCGCCTGGTGGCCCGGAGCCCGCTGCTCCTCCTGGTGGCCCGGTGCCCGCTGCTCCGCCTGGTGGCCCGGTGCCCGCTGCTCCGCCTGGTGATCCGGCGTCCAGCCTGATGTGCCTCCGTCCGGTGCCCAGCCCAAAGTGCCTCCGTCCGGTGTCCAGCTCGAAGTGCCTCCGTCCGGTGTCCAGCTCGAAGTGCCTCCATCCGGTGTCCAGCTTGAAGTGCCTCTGTCCGGTGTCCAGCTCGAAGTGCCTCCGTCCGGTGTCCAGCTCGAAGTGCCTCCGTCCGGTGCCCAGCCCGATGTGCCAGTCTTTGATATTCCGCCAGTCACCGGACCCGGGCAGTGGAACATTTTGCCCAGCTAGGACTGTTTGGAGCGTCCTGAGGCTGCTCCTTGAGGGGGGGGTACTGTCAGGAATGGACTTGCCAATAGTGGTGGGACTCACCTGCCTTGTGGGCTGCAGTACCAGGGCTGGCCAGCGGGTGCTCTCAACAACCAGAGGTTCACTTCGGCAATTAGCCATCACCTGGGGCTGATTGCAGGTGTATTTAAGGGATGGCCAGACCTGCAGTCTGTGCCTTGGTGTGTGTTTTTCCATGGGCCCCTGTATCTTGTAACCTGCGTTCCTGTTCCTGTTTCTGCCTGACTTGTTGCCGACCCTGCCTGATCCTGACCTCTGCTGACTTCTCCTGTTTTGATCCCTGGCTTGTGACCCTGACCATTCTCTCCGCCTGCTCCTCCTGTACCTACCTGCCCGATAGTTATCAACCCGGCCTGCCTAACTACGTTGTGCTCTACATGTGTATGTACCTGGGTATCTGTATCAGTTTAGGTTTGGGTTTGTTTCACCTTGTTGTATGTATTTGTGTTAGCTTGGGGTTTGGTGCACTGCGTTTATGTTTGTATTGTTAGTCTTTAATAAAGCGTCTTATTTATACCATATCTGAAGCTTGCATTTCCCTGTGTCAATCCACACACTTCTGGTCACACCTGAATCCCTGACAGTCCTCCTTAATTAGCATCTCTTTAAAGGGTTCAGGTTTTATTGATTTCTGACTCTAAAATTACCTACAGCAATATCTGTAAACCGTTACATGAAGGTGGGAAGGAAAAATACTCTGATATTTGCCCACCATAACATTTTAAACTCCTTTCTTGGCTAGTATACTGTATGTCCTTAATGTGACTCCACCTTCTTTCGGTTTCGATGGTCTGTCCTCTCAGAAATGGTCCACAAGCTCTTACCTACTTAAAATTTTTACTTATCAAACACAAAACCTGTTCTTTCACCTTTAAAAGGTAAGCCATACCTCTGTGCTTTGCATTGCATACGTCTTCTCCCTGTAGGTGTTCCATGTTGTACCCACAGATCTCCTTCTCACTTTTTGGCATGGGGAACTGGTTTACCTTCATTTCCTGCATTAAAAAATAGCCAGTGAATGCAGCTGGCTCTCAGACAATGCATGCAATAGCTTCTGAATGTGCCACTGCAGCTTCTTTACTCATGTTGGATCAGCCATTATGTGTTCTGTGCAGCCTGTGTTAAACAGATATGGATCACATTATACAGATAATTAATTTTTTTTATAGTGTCAGTGCAGGCCACATGGAAAAGCGCATAAATTTGTATTAGAGAATTACCATGCCACATATAGGATACTAAACAGAGAAAGTGCTTGTCAGAACAAACGCAAACTAAACAAAGATAGCATGAACAAAAAGTGTGACTAACCTGTATTTAAAGACAAAAAAAACAGAAAACACATTTTGCTCACTTGCATTCTAAGTTTAATGTGAGCTTGTTGGTATAGTCTCCTGAAGTTATATTACAAATCATAAGAATCAACAATCCTCATTGTTGAAGCTATTGGAGCCTTTAGGCCCATGTTTATTAATTTAATGGTGTCGCTGTCAAGGTCCTACCTTTCCTCAGAACTTGTGCTGCTCCATGTGCTGGCATCCATCTTAGGTTTCTGCAAAGCATTGTGGGTTCCTTTATGCTCTCAAGCCTCTGCGGCTCCTCCTCCAGGAGGTGGTGGCTTAGCACATTTAAGCCTGCTGTCTGCAGCTGCTCTTTGCATTCATGTCCTGTTTCTTGCACAGCAACAAGCTCCTGTTTAGCTACTCATTGCTTTCCTGGATACCGACTTGGCTTTGGCTAAGACTCCTCCTGGCTTCTGACCCCAGCTCTGGCGACCATTCTTCCTGGCTCCTGATCCCAGCTCTGGTGACGATTCTTCCTGGCTCCTGATCCCGGCTCTGGCGACGATTCTTCCTGGCTCCTGATCCCGGCTCTGGCGACGATTCTTCCTGGCTCCTGATTCCGGCTTTGGCTACGATTTCCGCTGTTGGACTTGCATAGACTCTTGTCTTATATTTATATTAATAAACCTACCTTTAATTGCACCTCCTTGTGTGTCTGGCTCCTCGCTCCCTGACAGTCGCAAAACACATGGGATTTTCCTTCACAGGGGTTAATTCCAAATTCATACAGCATAGCATCGCATTTTGCCTCCTGGTCCTGGCATCAGTGTCATAACTGTCTCAGATCCTGAATGCAACTGGAACAGAGCCTGTCTGTTTAGGGGAGCAGACTTGGACACACATCCTCTGTATGTCCCACCCACTGACACTGATACTCTGTCCTAGGGCACTGCATAAGCAGCAGAGGCTTGATACCACAACCTTCACCTGGGTACACACCCATAGGGTGTCTCGTTCAATCACTGCCTGGGCAGCACTAGCTCCTGACAGGAGCCCTGACTGATCTCTCTCACTTTCATGCCCAAAATTCATCATCATTCTTAAATTCCAGGATGTTCCTCGTTATGGATACTCATGTGTCTTTTCCTAACCTGGCCATGTGAGCAAAAGGGTGGTGTGGTGATATCACTGACCAAATATGGCAGCAACAGAAATCTGTCACTAGCAGTGGGTGTGTGTGGTATGAGTGGATGGGTCAGTTTTTTGATGGGTTTTTTCTTTTAACGATTGGCAGCTGACGTTAATTGTGATTTATGCTGGACTTTTTAGTTTTTTTTTTTTAATTTTCTAATAAAAAGGACTTGTCAAAACTTGTGTAGTTTTATTTACAAATGACTTTTTTTGTGAATGAGTACGGATAATATCTATCCTCTGCTAATTCACGTAGGGGCTCTCTGCTGGTTCTCCTCCTACCTATCGCAGCGCTCCTTCAGCGTTACCTATAACTGTCTCCTCCACTCCCTCTTTCTGTAGGGGTCCCTCAAAGTTCTCTCCTTGGACCCCTTCTCTTCTCCAGCTACACCTCCTCCCTTGGTCGCTTGATAAACTCTTTAAATACCATCTGTATGCTATTGACATTCAAATGTATCTTTCTACTCCTCACCTCACCCCTTCAGTCTCCTCTCGCATTACTAACCTACTAAGTGACATATCGGCATGGATGTCACTCCACTTCCTCAAACTCAATCTTTCCAAAACTGAGCTCTTACTATTCTCTCCAGCCCATGCCCCCTCTCTTGACTTCTCCATCAAGATCAATAACACAACCATCAGTCCCTCCCCTCATGCCAAGGTGCTAGGTGTAATCCTAAACTCCCATCTGTCCTTTCAGCCCCAAATCCAATCGCTGTCCAAATCTTGTAGACTTCACTTCTGCAACATCTCCAAGATATGCCCGTTCTCAACTTCTGAAACTACTAAGCAACTTATTCACTCCCTGGTTATATCTCGCCTTGACTATTGTAACTCCCTCCTCATTGGCCTACCTCATCGCAGGCTATCCCCTCTTCAGTCTATCATGAATGCTGCTGCCCAGGGGCGGACTGACAACTCATGGGGCCCCTGGGCAATAGCGGATCATGGGGCCCCTGTGTCCTTGCCCAAACTCAAAAAAGCCTATGAAAAAGGTACCAGGGGCATCTCATGGGGCCCCCTACTGACCCCGGGCCCTCGGGCAGTGCCTGAGTTTCCAAATGATCAGTCCGCCCCTGCTGCTGCCAGACTCATCCACCTTACTAACTGTTCAATATCTTCCACCCCTCTCTGCCAATCCGTCCACTGGCTTCCCATTGCCCAACGGACAAAATTCAAAACATTAACAATAACATATAAAGCCATTTATAACTCTGCCCCAAATTACATCCCCAATCTTGTCTCCAAATATCACCCAAACCGTACTCTCTGCTCCTCGCACGACCTCCTGCTCTCTAGCTCCCTTGTCTCCTCATCCCATGCTCATCTCCAGGACTTCTCCAGAGCTCCCCCCATCCTCTGGAACTCTCTACCCCAACTTATCAGGCTATCGCCTACTCTGCTCGCTTTTAAGTGATCTCTGAAAACCTCTGTCTTCAGGGAAGCCTATTCTGCCCTCAGCTAATAATGGAATCTTCTATTTCTCCTACCAGTCCATCCCCCACAGTTATTAACTTTTGGTACCACTAGCCTCTCCCTCTTAGATTGTAAGCTCCAAGGAGCAGGGCCCTCCTAACCCTCTTGTATTGAACTGTATTGTCTCCCGTTACATTATAAAGCACTGAGCAAATTGTTGACGCTATATAAATCCTGTATAATAATAATAATAATAATAATATGGGAGGGATAGCTGGGTACCCTCTACTTAAAGTACTTGTAAACCTTTGAATGAAAAATTAACAAAGCTTATCCTCATATAGTGTGTACTTGCCTCATTCCATAGCTCTTTGTGTGGATTCTGCCTGCTTCTCTCTTTTTCTTCTCCTTTTTTTTTTTTTTTTAGCTGGGTTTCCTTTTCAAAACACATACCAAATCTAAGGAGTTTGGTATTGATTTTGGGGGACCTTTTTTGCGTAGCAAAAGTAGCATATCAATAAAAAGGGCATTAATTCACTTTTCTTTGCAAGCTTTCTAAATGTTGTAAATAATACAATACACACCACCAAAATAGAGATGTGCCATTTCACAGGCAGGTTTAGGGGAACCCCCCCCCCCAGCAATTTAGTTTAAAGGAATAGTGA